CAATGAAAATAATTTTATGGTTGGGGGTCACCACAACATGAGGAACTGTATTAAGGGGTCACGGCATTAGGAAGGTTGAGACCCACTGCTCTAGAGCCTTGGAGAACTCAGAGGCTGGCAGACGAGTCAGAAGTATAACCAGAGAGGCTCTCCCAGCCTTTTGCTTCTTACACTGCCAACCCCATTCTGCCCTCCCACTCCACAACCTTCACTGGCTCCTTTTCCTTGCTCATTAATCCCAGACTCCTCTATCTGGCATTCAAGGTCGTGCTCTGAGTTTGTAATCAGAGGGAGCCCTCAGCCCCTTAGCACAGGACCTGGGATTGGTGACACAGATTTTGTTGATAAGTGGCTGAATAAATGTACCCTACTTTTCCAACCTGTCCTCCTTCCATCTTCACCCCTCCATCCCATCCAGATCCACACTTATTATGCTCACTTCTGAATGCATTTTTTTAAAGATTTTTTATTGGGGAATTGGGGGATGGGAACAGCACTGGGGAATTGGGGAAGGGGAACAGACAAGTTGCTGTCCTTTTTGTTCTTCAGTCTAGTTGTGGAGGACGTTGCTTCACTGACCCAAGTTGGCACTATCATTGCGCTCTTCCCGGGCGAGGTAGATCAGTTGCCTACTTCTATGCGGCTGCTGGCCGCTCACGCTGGCTGCCGGCTACACACGGTAGCCCATGGCAACCCACTACAGCAGGGGCTGCAGCCTATGCCATCGCCGCCTGCGGCTCACGGCAGCCCAGCTCCAGGTTGAGCTGTTGTTCAGCATCTTAGCTGTAGAGGGCAGTGTCATTGGCCCTCATATGTGGGATCCGAACTGGGGCCCTCTGGCATCCCAAGCCAGCTCTTAACCATCGCGCCACTCGGCCAGCCCTGAATGCATTTTTTTGTATACACTATCCCTCCTTTCTAGAATGCACCCCTCTCTCCAGCTCAAGGTGTCACCTGCAGGAATCCCTGACTGCTCCATCTCTTCCTCTCCAGCCTTTCTCTGGTATCAAGCACATACTAACTGCTTCACATGGGAGTGTAACTCCTGGAAGATGGGAGTCAACCTCTTCCTGTCTCCCCTCACTATCTGCCTCGAGTTGTGCAGGGTCAAGTACTGTCTCCACGGAGCAGCAGGGCCTGGAGTTGGGATCCCTGCCACAGTTCCTAGAGAAGCAAGGGGTTTCACAATGCAGGCCCAGCCTAGTCTGCCCTGAGCAGTAAGGTGGAGTGGCCCTGGGGGCAGGACACAGCTTCCTTCCCATGTTTCCCTGCAGAGAAGCAACGGGAACTGGCCCGGAAGGGTTCTCTGAAGAACGGCAGCATGGGTAGCCCCGTCAACCAACAACCCAAGAAGAACAATGTCATGGCCCGGACAAGGTAGAGGACCCACTACTCCACCTGGACCCTGCCAGCCAGCATCTACCTCTCCTGGTTCTGAGCCTCCCCTTCCCTCCTCCCTTGGGCCCAGCTCCCCTCTGAGGGGAGTCTCAACAGGATCCAAGGGGGTGGGGGGAGAGAAGTGGTGGGTTGGGGCCTGACCCAGTTCCTTGCCAGGCTTGTGTGCTCCGGTTGCCAATCCAGTCCCCCAAATTCTCCACCCAGGTTGGTCGTTCCCAATAAAGGCTATTCCTCGCTTGACCAGAGCCCAGACGAGAAGCCACTGGTAGCTCTTGACACTGACAGGTGTGTACGGGGATGTTGGAGTAGCTGGGAAAGCCACAGAAACCTGTGGTGATTTGAGCCAAGAAAAAAAGGGGGTGGTGGTGGTTGGGATAGAAAGGAGTAGCATTTCTGTTTAGAAGAGGTTAAGGGTGGCTATTTATAAGGGTGGGGCTAGGGGAACCTGTATTAATACTGCATTTGTACAGCAAACACTTTTTATTTAGATAGTACTGTTTATGTGGAAACATGGGGGAGGGGGAGGGTATTGACTGATCGGGGTGGGGGTGCAGGGAGTTTTCTATTTAATTTCTGGGAATCACTTCCTCTGTCTTCTTTCCTCCATGGCCAGTGATGATGATTTTGACATGTCCAGATATTCCTCCTCTGGCTACTCCTCTGCTGAGGTGAGGCCCCATACTTCCTGCCCTATACACACCCGAGCAGGCCTGTCTCCATGTAGGAGAAAGGATGAGACCAAATCACACCTAAGGGGAGCTATGGACAAAGCCAGGCAGAGCTGCTGTGGGAGCGGGACAAAAGTGGGGCAGGGCCTAGACTGGAATGAGTCTGAAAGAAAGGTAGGCAGTTAGACCCTGGCCTCAAGTTCAGGGAGCCCAGGGTTAGAGACACCCAGGGTTAGGGGCGGGGCTTGAGCCCCCAGTTGGCACAAGACTCTTAAATACAATGGGTGTGAAAAACAGGTGACACCTTATGAGGGAAGGCCTGAAATAGGGGCAGGGCCCAAAAGAGGCAAGACTTGAGGTGGAAAGTTGCCCTTAGAATGGGGTGGGGTCTCTAGTGGGTCGGGGTCCTCACAAAGAAGTGCCTCTAAAGAGGGTGAGGCCAGAATTGAGTAGAGGTGAAGCCAGGGGTTTCAGAGAGACCTGGGATGGGACAGGTCTAGGCAAGGAAGAGCGGGGGATACGGCAGTACTGTGGCTGCTGCCTGCGGATTGGCCTGAGCCTGACTGCCTGACCCTTTGCCTACAGCAGATCAACCAAGATTTGAACATCCAGCTGCTGAAGGACGGCTATCGGTTAGACGAGATCCCTGATGATGAGGACCTGGACCTCATCCCCCCCAAGTCCGTGAACCCCACCTGCATGTGCTGCCAGGCCACGTCCTCCACTGCCTGCCACATTCAGTAGCGGGTGGGGCCGCTGCGGCAGCTGGAGCGGGGCCACTGTGGGCCAGGTTGGACAGGGCAGGGGCCGACCCCTCCCCAGCTCATCTGCCTGCCCCTGGCCCCGCGCCCCCTACAGCCGCCAACCTCGTAACAGTCATTGCTTCCTCCTATGGTAGGACGTGTACCTCTGTGTGTTCACGGAGCCGGAGAAACCAAAACCGGGTCTCTCTCCACCTGGGGGCCTGAGAAGGAGTGGGGGCTGTTTGTTCAGTTACTTGGGGGACCTCACCCAGCACTCTGCCCCCGTCCCCAAAGCTGCAGTCTGGTGGGGAGTGGGGGACTAGATGGCAAGGAGGCCAACAGTAAATGAGTAGGGGGAGGGATCACAAAGCCAGGGGTTTGGCCCCACCCCAGCAAAGCCATGAACACCCCCAGCCTCAGCCTGAAAAGGAAAGGGGCTTGGAAGAAGAAAGGCCCAGGGCAGTGGGGGCAGGGCCCAGCACCTGGAGCCCCCTCCACGTGCACCATGCCAACCCATGTACCTATTTGCATTTCTCCCCTCATCTCCAGATGGGAAGCCTGGCAAGCTGGCCAGTGGGATATTGCCCTCTACCCATCGGATCACTGCCTTCTTCCTCCTCTTTGCCCCATTCACACCCTTCCTTGCTCTCTGGGTTGAGGGTAAGGTGGGCCTTAGAGACAGGCCAGAGTTTGGGGTGGTATGATCTGTCCTCACCCACCCCTTACTAACACATCTGTCAAGCCCCCTCCCCCCGCTCCCAACGCTTCTGTTCACTGGTCTCTGTCCCAGGTTGGAAGCAGGAGGTAAGGCTGGCCTTGAATGCCCCATTCCCATCTCACTCCAGTCTCCCTCCAGCCCAAGATTCTGGATGCTGCTTCTCAGTAAGAATCTTCAAGGAAGCAAGCTTAGGAGAAAACAGTGGCTTCGTGTTTATGGTAGGGAGAGCTTGGCAGAATGTGTGTGTGCCTGGGGATGTCATGGTGTGCGTCTGTGTCTCTGCATTGAGGCTGTCTCTCTAGATGTCTGTTTCTGTCATAGATGGTGGGGATGTGACTGTGTGGTCTGTTAACAGTGTGACAGGCTGTTCAGCAGGGCGGTGAACTGAGAGCCCTGGCCTGGAAGTTCTAGCTCTGGCACTCTCCCTGTGGTCTCCAACAAGCCACTTACATTCTCCGGGCTTCAGTCACCTCAACTGTAAACTGAGCAGCTTTTGCAGTGATTTTTAAGGTCCTTTCAAATTGAAGGAATTTCCTCACTAGGAATTTTTGTGGAGGTGTATAGGAAGATCTCTGTGTGTCTTTGAGTGCACTTAGGGGGCTTCTGAGTTGTATGTCTGTGTGGAAAAGAGAGGGGGAAGTTCCTATGGGACCTGTGAATATCTGAGTGCATGCGGATCTACTAGGGAATACTTGTGTGTGTACGGATGTATATGTGTGTGGGTATCTACTGTGTGTGTAGCTGTATGGGGTGTCTGAGTCAGAATGTGTGTACTGCTGCTTCCGCTGCTGCTGGTGCAGGGAGGGTGGTGCCAGAAAAACTGAGGATGAAAAACAAGAGGAAGGAGGTGACCAAGACCCTCCCCTGGCACTGGGCAATATAGACCTGACCCTATGTGGAAAAAAACGAAAGCACAGGTGGCCTAAGACTGCGCAGGTCTATGCCCCACAAACTCCATACCCCAGGGCCAGGGTGTACACCGCCCCCATTCCTCCACGCTGACACCCCACACGTGCTGGTGTGTCCACTCATATATACCACTCACACGCTGCAGGCGCGTGAAGGACACCCACAGCCCACTCCCTGGATGCCATTCCTGAGAGGTGGGAGCTGGGAGGGGGAGAGGGTACTGAGAGAAGAGAGTAAGACTGCTAGCTTAGGGAAGGTAGCAGCTCTCCCTGCACCACATCCAGGGGCTGCCAACACCCAAGTGTCGAGGTGCAGCTCTCTACCCTCTTTCCTCCAACCTACCCCTACCTCCTCTAGTGTAGGGGCCCTGGTTAGATGATGAGAAAATGCCAAAGGGAGGCACGACAGAGAAGGCACCCGCAGGACCCACAAGGCCTGTACTGGCCCTCATATGAGCCCGTTTCTCCCACTGTGGTTAGATCCCTACACCCTATCACCTGGGCCCCAGAGCCAAGCCTACTACTACTGTCACCACCACCCTGGGCTCCTTGACTCGCCCTTTGAGAACATGGGTATCTCCTCTTTTCCAGACAGGGTCCCATCAGGACTCATGTAGACTGCTACCTTTGCTGCTGACTTGCTGTGTGTCTGGCCCACTGCTGAACCCCTCTGGCCCTGAGGAACCAGGGAAAAGTTCCCTCCCCACAGGACACGCCTAGTTACCTGGCAGGCAAGGGCTTCTGAGTGAGGCAGTGTACAAGTAGTGGAGAGAGGTGGGAAGCTGGCAGCTAGCACCTTCCCTGTCTGGGAGGTTGGAGGAGAGGCATCGAGGCCTTAGCTTGCCCCTGTCACCCTTCCCCCTTGTAGATACTGCCTTAACACTCCCTCTACCCTCAGCTCTGGCTGCCACCCAGCCAGGTTTCTCCGTGCTCACTAATTTATTTACAGGAAGGTGTGTGGAAGACATGAGCCGTGTATAATATATTTTTTAACATTTCCATCGCAGTATTGACCATCATCCTTGGTTGTGTATCGTGTAACACAAATAATGATATTAAAAGCATCAAACAAGCCAGCTTCTCCGTTCCCTACCTGGGGTGTGGGCAAAGGGCAGGTGGGCTGGGAAGGGGAGGAAACTGATCCTCTGAATGCTCGTTTCACTCTACATTCACACGTGGGTTCCTGGGTCAGGCCTCCCACTGACTCTGCGTGACCCTGAGTGAGTCACTGAACCTCCATTTCTCTTCCTCAAGGTGAGAAGCTTGGCCTAGAAGATCTCCAAGGGCCCCCTGAACTCTTGGAAATTGGGCTTATTTGAGAAGCTTGAAGGAGGGAAGAGTGGGGGGTAGAGAGAGAATTGGCCCTCCTCACCTCCCCAGGGATGGGACTGAGCCATGTGATATCATAATGGGCAGTGCCCATCCTGGAGGGGCAAGCAGGGCGGGGTAGGAGCAGGAAGGCTGTGGGGAAGGGAAGTTGAGAGGTCCTCCACAGGAGGGATCACAGCTGCTAAGGCACTTGCCAGGCTGGAAGTGTGGACTGTCTGGGAGAGGGGGTGGTCACTATTATTTTGCAGGAGCGCTTAGTAGGTAGAGCCCACCACGGCATCCCTTCGGCCCCACTATGTTCCTCTTTTCCCGTAAGACCAAGACCCCCATCAGCACCTACCGTGACTCCTACAAGGCTCCTACCTCCATCAAGGAGGTCTTTATAGACCCACCTCTGCGGGCCTGGGAAGTCAACAAGTTTGTGACCCGGGTAAGTGGAGATCGGGGGAGGTGGGCAGGGGCAAGCCAGAGTGTGTGGGCATGCGTATCTGGGTGACTGGTAGTGTGTGGGTATCATTATGTGTTTATACTTATTTGTAGCTTTGCATTTGCCTAGGTGTGGAATTTATAATAATATACAAATAGGACAAGATCCTGCTTTCATGGTGCCCTGCTACTCCACCAGGGTAGGAGGTGGGAAGAATTAGATGATAATCAAGAAATAAACAAGAGTTTTAGAAATTATTCAAAATGCTATAAAGGAAATAAACAGTGTGATGGAAATGGACAGTAACCAGGGAGACCTACTTAAATAGAGCAGTCATAGAAAACCTAGATGAGCGAGAACTAGCCATGTGAGGAACTGAAAGAATAGGGTTCCAAGCAGAGTGATCAGAAAGTGAAAAGGCCCTCAGCTGCCTGTGGGATAGGCCAGAAAATGTCCAATAGGCGTGTTTTTATGCAGGTGTATCACAGCCTCCTTGTACCAAGTACATATGTGTGTCTGTACTTGAAGACAGGTGGCCAGGTGGGTCTGTGCAGCTTTCACAAAATGGAGAGAAGACCTGTGAGTCTCATTGTGACTGGCTAAGGGAATTTATCTGTGTGTACCATCCAACAAACTTTGCCGGATATCTACCTGTGCCAAGCACAATGCAGATACAAGAATGAAGGGCCAGGCCCTGCCTTTGAGGAGCTCTCCACAAACAAGTGAACAAAGTAGGATTGCCCAGTGTGGACCATGCACCAGCAGAGGCATGTGCTGGTACAAGAGCAGAAAGGGGAGAGCATTCCTAGGACTTGAAGGGCAGGTCTACTAAGAGATCCAGGGGGAGGAGGCTTCCAGTGAACAGAATCATGAGAAAGGGCAGCCTGGGGATAGAGACCTATGGGGAACTGATGACTGCTGTAGCAGGGGAATAGACTAGCCCTGTGGGAAGAGAGGAGCCTACAGACCATGAAGGGCCTCAGCCTATGTTGAGAAGTGATGATATAATGCTCCAGGTTTTTATCTTTGTGGGGTTNGAAAATGCCAAAGGGAGGCACGACAGAGAAGGCACCCGCAGGACCCACGAGGCCTGTACTGGCCCTCATATGAGCCCGTTTCTCCCACTGTGGTTAGATCCCTACACCCTATCACCTGGGCCCCAGAGCCAAGCCTACTACTACTGTCACCACTACCCTGGGCTCCTTGACTCGCCCTTTGAGAACATGGGTATCTCCTCTTTTCCAGACAGGGTCCCATCAGGACTCATGTAGACTGCTACCTTTGCTGCTGACTTGCTGTGTGTCTGGCCCACTGCTGAACCCCTCTGGCCCTGAGGAACCAGGGAAAAGTTCCCTCCCCACAGGACACGCCTAGTTACCTGGCAGGCAAGGGCTTCTGAGTGAGGCAGTGTACAAGTAGTGGAGAGAGGTGGGAAGCTGGCAGCTAGCACCTTCCCTGTCTGGGAGGTTGGAGGAGAGGCATCGAGGCCTTAGCTTGCCCCTGTCACCCTTCCCCCTTGTAGATACTGCCTTAACACTCCCTCTACCCTCAGCTCTGGCTGCCACCCAGCCAGGTTTCTCCGTGCTCACTAATTTATTTACAGGAAGGTGTGTGGAAGACATGAGCCGTGTATAATATATTTTTTAACATTTCCATCGCAGTATTGACCATCATCCTTGGTTGTGTATCGTGTAACACAAATAATGATATTAAAAGCATCAAACAAGCCAGCTTCTCCGTTCCCTACCTGGGGTGTGGGCAAAGGGCAGGTGGGCTGGGAAGGGGAGGAAACTGATCCTCTGAATGCTCGTTTCACTCTACCTTCACACGTGGGTTCCTGGGTCAGGCCTCCCACTGACTCTGCGTGACCCTGAGTGAGTCACTGAACCTCCATTTCTCTTCCTCAAGGTGAGAAGCTTGGCCTAGAAGATCTCCAAGGGCCCCCTGAACTCTTGGAAATTGGGCTTATTTGAGAAGCTTGAAGGAGGGAAGAGTGGGGGGTAGAGAGAGAATTGGCCCTCCTCACCTCCCCAGGGATGGGACTGAGCCATGTGATATCATAATGGGCAGTGCCCATCCTGGAGGGGCAAGCAGGGCGGGGTAGGAGCAGGAAGGCTGTGGGGAAGGGAAGTTGAGAGGTCCTCCACAGGAGGGATCACAGCTGCTAAGGCACTTGCCAGGCTGGAAGTGTGGACTGTCTGGGAGAGGGGGTGGTCACTATTATTTTGCAGGAGCGCTTAGTAGGTAGAGCCCACCACGGCATCCCTTCGGCCCCACTATGTTCCTCTTTTCCCGTAAGACCAAGACCCCCATCAGCACCTACCGTGACTCCTACAAGGCTCCTACCTCCATCAAGGAGGTCTTTATAGACCCACCTCTGCGGGCCTGGGAAGTCAACAAGTTTGTGACCCGGGTAAGTGGAGATCGGGGGAGGTGGGCAGGGGCAAGCCAGAGTGTGTGGGCATGCGTATCTGGGTGACTGGTAGTGTGTGGGTATCATTATGTGTTTATACTTATTTGTAGCTTTGCATTTGCCTAGGTGTGGAATTTATAATAATATACAAATAGGACAAGATCCTGCTTTCATGGTGCCCTGCTACTCCACCAGGGTAGGAGGTGGGAAGAATTAGATGATAATCAAGAAATAAACAAGAGTTTTAGAAATTATTCAAAATGCTATAAAGGAAATAAACAGTGTGATGGAAATGGACAGTAACCAGGGAGACCTACTTAAATAGAGCAGTCATAGAAAACCTAGATGAGCGAGAACTAGCCATGTGAGGAACTGAAAGAATAGGGTTCCAAGCAGAGTGATCAGAAAGTGAAAAGGCCCTCAGCTGCCTGTGGGATAGGCCAGAAAATGTCCAATAGGCGTGTTTTTATGCAGGTGTATCACAGCCTCCTTGTACCAAGTACATATGTGTGTCTGTACTTGAAGACAGGTGGCCAGGTGGGTCTGTGCAGCTTTCACAAAATGGAGAGAAGACCTGTGAGTCTCATTGTGACTGGCTAAGGGAATTTATCTGTGTGTACCATCCAACAAACTTTGCCGGATATCTACCTGTGCCAAGCACAATGCAGATACAAGAATGAAGGGCCAGGCCCTGCCTTTGAGGAGCTCTCCACAAACAAGTGAACAAAGTAGGATTGCCCAGTGTGGACCATGCACCAGCAGAGGCATGTGCTGGTACAAGAGCAGAAAGGGGAGAGCATTCCTAGGACTTGAAGGGCAGGTCTACTAAGAGATCCAGGGGGAGGAGGCTTCCAGTGAACAGAATCATGAGAAAGGGCAGCCTGGGGATAGAGACCTATGGGGAACTGATGACTGCTGTAGCAGGGGAATAGACTAGCCCTGTGGGAAGAGAGGAGCCTACAGACCATGAAGGGCCTCAGCCTATGTTGAGAAGTGATGATATAATGCTCCAGGTTTTTATCTTTGTGGGGTTTTTTTATGGTATCTTTAAAAAAAAAAATTGGGGGAATTGGGGAAGGGAACTAACCAAATTGTTGTTCTTCAATCTTAGTTGTGAATGGCACCAGTCGTCATCTGGTTGCCTGTCGGCAGCTCGTGGCCTCTAAGCTCAAGGTGCCATGTTACAATCTTAGTTGCGGGTGGGCATAGCCACCATCCCACGTGGGAGTTGAACCAACAGCCTTGTTAAGAGTGCATGCTCTATCCACTGAGCCATCCAGGTGGCAGTTCAGCTCAAGGTGGCGAGTTCAGTCTTAGTTGCGGGCGGGGTAGCCCACCATCAAACAGGCAGCCTTGTTGTTAGGAGCACGTGCTCTCACCAGCTAAGCCATCCTGCCACCTGTTGGCAGCTCAGTGGCAGCTCAGCTCAGATGCAGCGTCACTGGCCCATATGGGAATTGAACCAGCAGCCCTGTTGCTCAGAGCTCGCGCTCTTAAGCTAACTTTTAACCAACTGAGCCACTCGGCCAGCCCTGCTCCATGTTTTTTATCCTGGGAGTGTCATGATTGGATTGTGAGTTATGCCACTTTGTCCACAGTGGCAGGAGAGTGGAGGGACTGGGGCTGAGGGGAGGAAGCCCAGTGAGATGGTAAAGGATGAGGGAGGAGGATGTGGGTGGTGGTAAGGAGACACTTTGGCAGTGAAAAAAGGAATTTATTGAATAGCAGAGAATTTAAAATATTTTGATAATTACAAAATAAATATATGCTCAATGCAGAAAATGGGGATAACTCAGAGAAGCACAAAGGAAAAAGACCTATAATCTTACTACTCAAAATAACTACTGTTAATATATTATTATATGCCCTTTTGGGAAGCAAATACTTTCTATGAAAATGGTGTC